GCGAGTGATATTTGTTTGAAAACAATAATAGTAACAGGATCACATCAACGATATTTACACACATCAACCGAACATAATTAACACTAAAGTATACAGATACAAACAAAATCTACTTAACTGGTAACTTTGAGTGGGAATATGTATGAAAACAGGGGGATGGGAGTCATTGATATAAGACTGGAAAATGTACTTCCCAAAACCTAGACCTTATCATAAGTTAGTTATTTGACAAAAAGTATACTTTTTCTCTCTATAAATTTTTACAGATTGACAATGACCCAAGAAGTTAGGTAGCACTAGAGATGTTTCGTCAGTTTTAAACTCGTCGCCAGTGTGTAATCACTCATGAGCCTCATGTGTGGGACCGAGTTCAGGAGCTATTTGAGTCTTCAAATCAGTACTATAAACATATTCAAACTAACCAATTGGAATCTAACCGTTCATATTCCCAACTACAGCCAATTCACTATAGTGTGCAAACATCACATTCAATGTCGTCAACGATATCCATAACATTATCAAGAAGAGTGAATTTCAAAAGTTGCAAATTACCTACTAGAACTTTAGGAATATTTATTGTAGTAATAATATTGAGAGCTCTCTGATTTTCAATGGTTTTTCGACTGAATAACTTTTAATTCATTTCTGGATTGTTTGTTTGAATCTTCCCATTGGAGACTGCAATTATTCAGTTTCTTATAGGCATATGCGCGGATTGCCTCGATATTGAATAACGTCTATATGTTGACTATTTCAATCTAATGGCTAAGACTGTCATTAAAATATTATGTATTCTATTCGATATTTATTGAATGAAATATAATAGTATCATACTACGACTATTAATGTGTTAAAGTGAATTTCACTGCTTTGTTATTATTGTAGATATGAACTTTCAGGCGAAGTATTTCTTTCGGTTCACAGTATATTTTTTCATGTTGAAAATTCAATGTTGAATTTTCTCAATTAAATCACCTTTATCATAGTTTAGTACATTAATTTAGTTGTATTTAATTTTGTTTACAGTTTTAAAATTAGGAAGAAAAGCAATTATAATTACTTTTAATTGAGGGGAATTTTCATGACAGTTTTTTCTTCACAAGTCTACTACTCTTTCCACCTCTTTTCTTACAAAAATGCAAAGAGTTGATATGACTAGGTTTTTACAGAGATATATATTATATTATTACATATTGTATTATACATATTTAAAACACAAGTAGAACTAGAAAAGTTAATATATGAAATAGATATTCAATGAATAGGTTATAAGCATACAAGAGCTGGACGTATATTTAATGGACATGATTAAGCCAGGTACGTATGTATGACCAGGAATTGATTCTAAAATAGCTTTCAAGCTTCAAAACTGTACAGTTTGGGTAATGATGGTTATTAGATCCAACTACATAAGCTCTAATGAATTCAAAACATGATAGACGAATAATACAAAAGCGATTAGATAATCCACGTAGTGTGTCAGATGAACAAAAACACCAAAACCAACAGTCATATCAAAGGATAGTCATTAAAAAGTGAGTTAGCTGATTCCGAATGGCGTCGAGAGCTTGAAAATCAAGTTTGTCAAACAAAAAGTACTTTGGATAAACTTTAAAAAAGTGAACAATAACTCAATAAACAACTTCGAACGTTTTTAAAGGAAAGAAAACTATTTGATAGGGCATCGTGTTTACAGAACAGTTTAACAGATGATGAAAATATGCGTCATCATTTGATGAGATCAAGTACTAATCTAGAAAAAGATAGGCATAATCTTAAACGACACTTAAAAAAGACCGAAAAAGAAAAATAACAAAAAAATTGTGAATATGAATAATCTTAATCGTACAGAGTTAGAAATAACATTACGACGTCTGGAGGAAGAGAATTCAAATAGAAGAACGCAGATTCAGTTGATACAATCCAAATTGGTTGAGATGGTACAATCTCATACTAAACTAGCAAGTAAACATCGAGCAGAAAGTGAATTGGAATTAGAAAGACTGTGCCGTGGCAAAGCTTAAGCTGAACGTGCACTTGAAGCGCGAGAACGCGCCCATAAACAGCTCAACAATATCTACAACCCCAATCTTGAAGATATTATGTGCTCACAAGTGACTAGCTTCGAGAGGTCATTCTCGAAGTTCTAGTGAGACGCCGTGACCAGCGGAACTAGTCCGTGTCGGGTAGAGACTGCTATCTACCTCAGACAATCGAAGATGGCCGCGCAATATCGTGGATTGGTTGAAGTTAGACATTAACATCGTTGGATTCCTGCTCAGTAGTTTGGAGTTTGAGCGTTCGCGCGCGAGACCGAAGGTCATAGGTTCGGACTCGGTGAGTGGGACTATGGATGAGCACTGCTGTGGAGTCCCATAGCAGGACGAAACGGCCGTCCAGTGCTCCCAGGTTTTCAATGGTGGTCTAACATTGATCAGTTCGTGATCTCAATGAAAAACTCAACAATCTCCACAACACCATACTGATAAAGTGAAACAATTGCTCAGTAGTGTTGTCTTAATTTTTAGTTGTTTATCAGTTAATTTTAACACAATAATTATGAACTATCTCATAAAATTGTAAATATTTTTCGCAGTTTAAGAATAGATTTCATCATGAATTAATGTCAACTGAAGAACTATAAGAGAACATTTTGTTTAGTCTACTGTGAATCAATTAAGTGAAGCATAAAACATTAGGATAAGAAACCGAAGGCAAGGGGGTGTTGAGACAGTAACTCAGTAATGAATAGTAGTTGAACATTGCCAAACTGTACAAACCTCTGGAGAAAAAGGACTAAGTATATAAATTTCGAGTTTAAATAATCCAGAAAATGTAATACTAAGAGAGATGGGAAGATTATCAACTCCTACTTATTTAATCGAAAGACGACAAACACATTGTCAGTAAAGATTCAACTGTAAAATGTGCTACCATTAATCGTTATTTAAGAAAAGAGTTAAAGTATGCAATGAAAAAGACTTACAAACTAAGAAAATATAAATGGATTTGTTACTGAAAACATTTCTTCCGTTTACTAGTTACTTCAATTAGCGAAAAAGAGTTTTCTTAATAGGAAGTGTTTTCATGTGAAGAAAACATTAAGAAATATTTACAAGAATCTTTCTTCTTAGAGTGAACATAGATTTGATGTGATTAAAAGAATAGTACTTTTTCTTCATTCCCATCCGAATACAGATAAAATCAGAAACAAAGACGAAACCAAACAAAAAACGAGTTCATTGGTTTCAGTAGTTAGTAAATAACAGAGAAAACAAAATACGCACGTATATCGACCCAGGTGCTTAACGTATGAACAACATATCAAGAACGAGAGATAGAAGAAAAGTAGTCAAGATAATATTAACCACAGTGGAAAGTTTATAGATAAAGAATATCATTCGAAAAAGAACAAATGAGATGGGATAATGCAAAGTATGAAATGATTCTGAGCCTAAAAGGTAAGAGAATGTAAAGAATAAATGTAACTGCGCCTAATACGAATATTTTTAAGTGATGTAATCTAATATCACCAATTATAGAATACGATTATTTCGCCTAATACAACCAGTATGTACCTGTCGATATGGCTCAGGACAACAGTCAATTACATTATGAAGTAATGCGATATCTCCATTTAATCGATTTTTACTTTCTTCCAATTCAGCTAGTTAGATATGGTTAACACTGACATGACATAATCAGAATTGGATCGATTATTATTTTAAACGACTAAGCTCCTAGTTTATTTGTAAGGACGAGATACTTTTGAATAATAAAACGAACTGCATAATTGTGAAATATAAATTAATTATTACTAAAATAGCCGTATCATACTGTCAAGTTATTCATTAATTACACTGAAAGGTATTCAATAATATGCATAGTTCTTATTCAAACTCTGAATACATCACTTATTCAGACATTTTTGACTGGTAATCGTGACGATGAGGGTTGAGATAAACACCATATTCACTTTTACGTCATGACTCTACATAGATTAGTGCGATTAGATGTTACATGAAATTCAGTCAGTCAGTCAGCTGCAACAAAGGACCAGGCACATATATGCATCGGTACAAGTTGTCATACCACATTAGCACAGCAAGATGAACATCGGATTCATAGAAGTAGTTAATTCAATGGTGGTAATATATAAAAGAAGGATTGCATATAACGATATAGTACAGGAAGAAAGAACTAGTACGTAGAAAGATATGAAGCGATTTTAATCTCATAGTTTAAGGAAAGGCATGAAATTATTCAACCACTATTCGAATATCTTTACTTTTTTTCTTAATATGTACATCCAAGTAAATTTTACAAGAATATACGTAAATAAATTATCAATACCGACGATATATAGAAGTTTATATTTGTGAATATATGATACTTTAGAAAAACGTTTTTTCTAGTTAAATCAACACTTAAATCTTGTACACAAGAAAGAGAAAATAAAACACTTCAGGTGAAATTTACTAGTTGTTATTTTATTTAGTGCATTGTTAAGGAAACTATTGCCTATAAAACCAAAGTAGAATTAAGGGATTTTATAAATTAAATTCAGTTTATTTTTACTTATACTGTCTTGACTGACTCAACTACATAACTTAATGAGTCAAACTATTTATTTAAATTACCACAGTACATCTCCAAACAACATATAACAACAAAAAAGACCAAGTGCATGAGTGTGTATGCAGAGCTGAAGAGTTCTATTTAAAGACAAATTAACTGCCTAGTGTATATGTTGATTTTTAACAGTTATTTAGACAGTGACATTTTGTGTTTGAAAAAGGTATCTGTACACCGCCACAAACTGACAGTCATAATAGCAAGAATTATTATGATTTAAAAATACCACAAGCATTCTTCGGTGATCACGTGAGACTCAATTATTTCATATGGAGTATGAGAATGGGAAATATCGACAGTCCGTTGCCTTTACAAAAGACAACATATAAGTACATCATATATATAATTTAGGAGAGAAAACTAACACTTAAATCTCGATAAATTTTCTGGTATTTATTTGGTAAACGATCCCAAGTTTGCTTTAATCGTTCAACAGGTGTTTGATGTAACCCAACTAGTAGACAGAACATTGTGTTAAAATTGCGCAGTTCACGGCATAATTTGGCAAGCTAATATATGGAGTGAAGAAAAGAAAGAAAAAAAAAGATGTAATTTACGTAGTAGATATTATTTCAGATTAATAATTTCACCTCTTACACACATGAGCAGAAAAAAGCATAGTGACTCATTTCTACCATACTGTTTTAATGAAATTTGACAATCTCCACAACCCCAATCTTAAAGATATTATGTGCTCACAAGTGACTAGCTTCGAGAGGTCATTCTCGAAGTTCTAGTGAGACGCCGTGACCAGCGGAACTAGTCCGTGTCGGGTAGAGACTGCTATCTACCTCAGACAATCTAAGATGGCCGCGCAATATCGTGGATTGGTTGAAGTTAGACATTAACATCGTTGGATTCCTGCTCAGTAGTTTGGAGTTTGAGCGTTCGCGCGCGAGACCGAAGGTCATAGGTTCGGACTCGGTGACTGGGACTGTGGATGCACACTATTGTGGATTCATTAACATGCACTGACTGACCAAACATAAGAAGTCATTAAAGAACATCAGAAGATGTGTGCATTAATTCAGGTATTCAATATTATTGGAATCGAACATTAGTGACCATTAGTTTAATCTGCAAGTACGCAAATAATAATAAGATTAACATCGGAATACCGGAAGTTTATTTGAAGGGACTACTACTACGTTGCACTTACAATGTACAATTTACATTCAACGACGTAATTCATAAACAGAAGAATGGCATAGTAATGAGATCCCCTCTTGGTCCATTATTAGCAGGTTGCTTCAAGGCCATTTTAGAAAACAACCAACTTAAAACGATTATAGGAAACTTCCACTTGTATAAAAGGTACGTAAATGATCTTTATCATTTGTGACAACAAATATAACTTGATTCAACTTCTAAAGATACTTAATAATTGTCACCCAGCAATAAAATTCACACTTGAAGGTGAAAATAAACAAAATATTCACTTTCTTAATGTGGGAATGACAAGAAAACAAGATGGTACTCTAAGAAGACTTATCTACAGGAAACCCATGTGGAATGGCCAACTATCAAGTTTCCAAAGCTGAGTCCCCATCAGTCGAAAAAGAGACTCAATAATATCACTGGCTACAAGAATATGAAGAATTTGTAGTCCCGAGATCATAGATGAAGAATCGGGTCCCTTGAAGGAGATACATAACAAAAACGGATATCCTTCGATATTTATTGACAAGAACATAAAACCGAAAACACAAATAATTTCAGTAGAAAAAAACACATTATACATGAACGTCGACTTTAAGGGTGACAGAGCCACATACGTCTTAAAGAGAATTTCTGATTCTTTAAAAAGAACATTCTTCGCAGCAACGTTGCGAATATTATTCTCCAGCCGATCATTGTTCACTAATAATCTTAAAGACAGATGATATCATCTGACCAATTCAATGTGCATTTACCAAACGATTAAAGTTTTCCCCGTTTAAAATTTTTTGAATACCCTTGTTTATCTTACCTCCCTGTCACCATGTCTAACAGAGGTTTATTATCAGAATTATTATAATTATTATCATCCTGAAAAATAAGTATATATATTTGCGATAATTATTTACACCTCATCGTAATGAAATTAAAATACGTAAAGGGTATAAGGGTTCTGGGTTTTTGATGAAGAGTGGCTCTACATCCTCAGAAAAGAGAAAAAGGCTGGTAACAAGATGATTTGGTGGTGTGCGAAGTATCGTACGGAGGACTGTAGATCTAGCTGTCATACGAAATATGAAGTTATTACAAGACAGCCAATCAAACATAATTGTAGTAAAACTACTAATATACATGTAACATTCCAATGAGAAGAAAATTAAATTTCTAACGTTTTGCGGTTTAGTGTAACTTACTTATTTCATGTAAAGATAGAGTAACTTTTAAATAGTGATCGGAAGAATAAAAGATCGGGCAGTCTCATAAACGTAAACGAAACATCAAACCATAAATAAAGTATCTGTCTGTCTATTGTATTCAGTGTCAGATCAACCACTCAACTGTGATTCGGATGAAACAGACAATTACGCACGTACATGACTATCAGGGGCCGATACTAAATCTAAGTTTACTATATGCATTGAACTTAACATCCAAATACAAAACGACTGTGAAAGAAGAGGATTTCCTTTTGAATGATAATGAACCAGGTGAAAAACTAATTACAATCTTTTTTTATAATTCAGAAGCTGGAATTGATGAGGTAGTGTACTTATTGGTATACCGACAGTACATTTAAGACCCAGTTGCATTTGTTGATTCATATATACATAACTCATGAAATTCAATACAATATCTCCTTGGTTTACATTATAATGAACGACAAAAGTATGAAGTCATACGTGTAGGTTTAAAACAAATCGAACGAATAGGTTTTGACTATAAGTCCATTAATTATCAAGAGTGATTACAAATGAATAACTTTCATCAGCGTTTCGACAAGTTTATAGAGGAGGCTACGATAATCGACAAACCTTCAAAGGCGTTAGATGATACGCGAATTTGGTTTAGTAGAGCCCCATTAGATGGTAGGTTTAGCTTTCGAGCGGGTTATAGATATAACTTCATTTGACGGTCTGATGGAGTCATTATTCCACGTAGAGAATCAAGAAATCAATATACTAACAAATTGTTTTGACAAAACCTGGACTGAAAGGCTGTAGCAATCTAATTTTTAAAATTGTACTCTGGAATGTCCAGTTCTTTCTAGGAATGCCTTCCTAAAACGAACAACTTAACAGAGAGAAGAGATAGAGGTCCTAGCTAATTCACTGATTTTGTTCATCCAGTCATACGGGAACTCATGGACGTTATAAAAAAGGGACATTCCAAACGATTTGAAAATCGAGCAGTTTATAGCAGGGATCCAGCAATAACCCGTAAAAGAGAAGTAAAAGGAGGTAATAGATGTATTCAACTGATTGTAGAATATTACGAAAACAGATAGATACCACAATATTTATGCAGTTTGATATTTCGTAATTTGGTGTTGAATACATAGCCACTAAAATGTTGTAGAAATTCATCATATTATTAAATCACCCTTATTGGAGGATAATGAGTGGTCAATGATTTTATCTGGCCGTACAAGGGAGATGTAAAGAACAGAAAGCGAAATGTGATCTAATACTCAAAACAATGTGGGTGAGAGAAAAACACATGATGAAATGATTGAATTAAACTTTTAGGTGTTTTGTCTATCAACCAAAGGACGTGTTTACTGCGCAGCAGTTCGTTCCGTCCTACTTTATGGCAGTGAAACATCGCCGGTAAGAGTAGAGGATATTCGTAGGTTACTAGTATTCGACCATAGATGTCTTCGAAACATTGCTCGTATATCCTGGGACCATCAAGTAAGTAATACAGTTGTTAGGAAACGGGTTCTAGGTAAGGATGGCAAATCAATTGATGAAGTAGTGAAACTTTATCAGTTGAGATGGCTGGGACATGTGTCCAACTAACGACTGCCCCGATGTGCGATGTTTAATGGTGTAGGGATAGGTTGGAAGAAAGCTAAGAGCGGCCAGACCAAAATATGGCACAAATCCGTGAAGTCAGTGACAAGTGGATTGATCTATGTTGGTAAGTGTAAACTACCTGGTTGGGATCCGTGAGACGATAGCAGCCGATGGTTAGAGACCTTGAATGACATGGCTCAAAATCGTTTGCAATGGCGCAGGTGCATCCATTCTCTGTGTTCTCTCAAATTCTAATCTTCTGAATTCTTTATGTCCTTTATTTTCTTTCCGAATCTATTCCACTGGACTATACTCCTTAAATAACATCATCAAACCCTAATGTTCCCTATCACTACTTATACTTTCACTACCTCTACCACTACGGGATTTGAATCGATAATTGAATCTCTGTGCTAATGTGGTGTGGCAACTCGAACTGATGTACGTACGTACGAAGTTCCGCGTTGTTACTGACTGACTGAAATCTAACAATGTATTGTCAGAACTCAAAACAAGTGACAGCATTTTTTCTTCACACTATGCCTTATTTGAATGAAGACAGGTTGGCGAATGATTCCAACCGACTTTTCAAGTTAAAATAGATGGGACTTATTTAATAAAAAGAGTAACAAAGAAAACACTTTAGATATAATGATAACGTGGTCAATAAAACTACTGAAAAATACATTCATTACAGACACAATTAAGTTACTTGCTCCATTATTATTAGTTTTTTAACCACTCAAAGTATAATAGTTATAAAAACATCACGGAAATGATTGAGACTGCAACCTCGAATTTTCAGGTGAAAAAGACAGTAACTTGATAGCAACGAAATAAACTGACATTATTTATTTGATCTCCACATAAAAAATATTTTTCACATGTTATCGTCTACATAAAAAATGGAAATTTCAAACGCATAAATAGTTTGAAAGTCAAGTAGTCAACTCGAAATACTCCATCTTTAAATTTTTTGATTAAAAGTGAAATATAGTCATAGCAAAAATTAAATACCTTGATAAAACGTTTCAACAAATCAACACGTCGATTCAAGTTAGTTTCATTGCAAATTTCAGTAGGAGCCCAATACGCTTCACGGTTGACAAGATCGGTGAATCGATCCAAATTTTCATGACCTGTTGCATATCCAGTATTACTACTGTTACTATTATTGCCAATAACAGATGAAGAGATATTATTAACATATGCATTACTGAGTCCAAATATTTCATCAATATATTCAGTGGATTGAATGGATCGAAATATTTCATAATCATCCATAGTTAAACGAGCAGCTAATTCATTTGGTGGAAGCTAAAAGCAATTATTCAATAAAAAGATAACAAGTGATCAGATCGTCAGATATTAGGAGTGATAAATAAACTGAGTATTAACGGAATGATGGGTTTTGTGGAAGTAGTATTTATCACAGATTTAACACAATTGGAGTACCCATTGAGAATTAGGCTGAATTGAACATGTATTTCAAACTAGCGCGGAACAACTCAGCTGAGCGCACCCTTGTCAAGCAAGGATTTAACAAATTTACACATACATCTACCATGCTAACAAAAAGGTTGTATCCAGTCAGTTTTTAGGGAAGATTTATTTTTCGTGTTCGAAAAAAAAAATCAAAAATGCGTATATTTTGGAATTTATTTAATGAATTTTGTATATTTAAAGGCTGTATAATTATGCTAATAAATGTCTAATGTTCAAGTAATTGGCAGTTGGCTTTAGGAATATAGAAATCGGTCAACACTTCGAAGTCATTGACATTTAATGTTCAAGGCGCAAAGTCAGGATGCTTTGAATATCACGTGTCATACACTTGAAATATTATATCAGTTGAGTGACTACAATCTGCTTATTTCGTTAAAGTAAGGCGAATTTGGTACGTTTGAGGTCGGATTTAATAGAACATCTGGTCTCTATTTTTAGGTAAGTCATGAGGTTTATTCATACCCTAACGTGAATCACTTGACTATGAAATTGTCCAATACATTCGGCTTTATCTTATATTTTCGCAGTCTAAATTATTCTGGCTAAATCAATTACTTTACCCTGACACATTCGAGAAATTTATTTAGCACTCGCTTCACACTTATTGTATCTTAATTAGTCAGTATAACTGCATGCATTACGTATACCCTAGTCAAAAATTTAATTTTCTTTTTAATTATGTAATTACTTCTCTTATTCTAAATTGTCTGACATTTATTCCAATGATTGTTGTCCTTCCAATTTTATTTGACGTTAAATCTAATTAAATTGAATAATGAACGTTGACTATTTCAACATTTTCCTAGTTTACATCATAGGACGATATTAGCTAGACAACCACTTAAAACCGGAAAGCACGAAACAGTTGTTTCGCCATGATATGGGACTCCTGAGCAGTGAATATCCACAAAAACCACAGGTGATCAAACTATCAGACTATTTAGCCGGGATCCAATAGTGACATATTTTTGACTTCAGTCAATTCGTGACAATAAGCGACCATCTTTCATTGCTCCAAACCCGACATTGCTGAACTCCATTAATAACAACTTCTCATCGAAATCGTAGTATTAATTCTAGACGTTAGTTACTAGTGAAGATATGATCATCATTTCAAGATTTCCAAATAGTTCAAAATTAGAAAAATCCTACTATTAAAGCTGCATTCTACTCTACTGATTATTAATTTTAACTTACAGTTGATAATCCTTGAATAAAAATTACTGAAAAGAATATTATTTGTTTCAAGAAAATGGAAATTTTTCTAATAATCTCGTATTAGTTTGTGGTGAAAGTCTACAAAAAAGAAGTTGCAATGAATATAGACGTAATGAATAGGCTATGCGATTAAACCGAAGGTATATACTGGGAGCAAAGCTTCAAGTGACTGTGAATTGCACTTATCATTTGATGGTAATACGAAATACTAAGGATATTCTCCGTAATGAAAGTATTTTCATAGTACATGATATCCATGTTTTCCTAAGACGAATCCGGGAAGATTACTTTGTTGCATTATTTAATAGCTTATACAATTAATAAGAGAGGAAAAAGATTACCTGCGTAAACGTAACACGACTTTCAGCTAGAATTGATTTTGCAACATCATCCGGAATAAGGGGATCATGATTATGCAAACTTTTCAAGTAATATCTTGAATTTAAAGTTAAACGTCCAGATAAATCATCCAGTACATTAGACAAGCGACTTTGTTTCACAATTGGCCCAGATTCAACAGTCACCTTAACAAAATAAGAAAACAACTATGTAGTAGGTTGAAGTGTATGCGTGTGTATGGAGGGGAGTGAATTTCTAAAGATTATTTATTTCCAAACTAGTGCCTACTATAAATTAAAATCATTTGATAAATCATTTATATACTATTACGTGTTGAACAGCTGTTTCATTTTAGATTGCAGCTCGTCGTCAATAGAGCATACAAGGATTGAAATTGGATGTGCACAATCGAGATTTAAACTAGGATGAAATAGCACCATAATGTCATCTACTTTCAAGCTGTCAAAAATTCATTAATTACACTTAAAAACTATCAGTTCAACCAGAGGACTTATTTTTAACGAGTTCACTTTCAAATTTGTGAAAATGTATATTATGATCACTATTATGAAACAGAATAATCTGTATGGTTGTTAAGATGTAATCAATTACGAAGATAGATAATTAATCGTATAAAATACTTGATAATCAAGGTGAATAGGGTAATTATGAGCGAAAATTAATCTAACGTATTAAAATAACAAAAAATAAATGATAATCAAGTGTACTTGAGGCAGTAAAAATCACAATAAGAATAATATTTAGTTGTGCAGGGAGTTAAAACATATGTATCAACACCTTGTGACAGCGAAATATAATAAAATCAAAGGCATGATAAACAAAATCGAATTTAAAAAGGAAAATCTCATTTCTATACAAAACCTTAGTTTTAACATTAGGCATAACGAACACTTCTTCTCCAAACAATATGAAATAGGTTTGAGAGTAAACGTTTAAGAATGCTTAATTAGAATGTAAAATGATATTAAAAGCAGAACATGAAGTTGAGTCTGCCATACATTGCAAGCTAAAAAATATATAACTGGTCAACATTATCCATAGATATGCTACGCTGGAAGACGCTGTGAAACGCTAAGAATGAGACAGACTTTGATGAACAATCTTTGTACTTCATACCATAAATAACACCTGAGTAACTGTTGCTTTTTGTGTTGAGTGGATTGTGAAGAAAAGTTCAATATGAAGAGATACTTTTCTAAATACGGGTTGATATAAGCTACAAAACCATTCAGAAACGAAGGAGGACTAGGCAGTTGTTTCGTTCTAATTTAGAATTCATCGGCAACCCCACTTGTTATTCGAACAAGAATCAAACCATGGAATCCCGGGTTTCGAGATGGGTGCACTTTCTTAATATTGTTGTATTAAAATACATTTAGTTGTCCTCATTTGTGTCCACTACAATGTTACTGACCTGGAACCTGTTGGTTTATATCTCCAACCACAATCAATACGTAGTATAGTACCAACATCATCCAAAATGGTCGGTGGTAATTATATGGTTACTAATGAATAACCTGTAGATAGATTGTGAAAGTAGTTCTTTGCTGAAAATGTCTATGTTAATAACTGTTTCTCACACGCCTGATTCAAAATTACTGCTAATAATATTATGTGATAGCTTCGTCGTCCTGTAATTGCAACTGTCCTTAGGACTGACCAAACTAAAACTTGCTATCAGTCTGTACAACCGTTGCATGTTCGCGCGAACCCCACTCACAGGTACAGTCTGTAGTCAAAAACTTCAAGGAACTCGAAATCAACACATTGAAACAATTGGTGAAATTGACCAGAATAACTATTAGTGGTACAGTCGGATTCGTTCATTTATCCTCCCCAAACTTTTAGGTTAAAACATTAAGTCATATTTTTATTCAGATCATTCAGTCCAATTTTTTCCGAACCATATACTCTATGTTTAGTCATTTTAACTTTGATAAGATTACGATCACTACTAATTCACTACTGGAATTATTCGTTTCACTGTTATGTGAAATGTAGGAACGATACAGGCTTTACGATGGTGATAATAACTAAATGGATTTCCAAAGGTTTAGTGAGACATTGTATCTGGAGATGTTCAGTCATATTGGAAGAGAGTTATCCCTGAACTTGAATGAATGGATGAGTCCAAAAATGTGGTGCAGATTTAGCGCATATATTAGCTGATGCCAATCGATTAGTTTAGATCGCTGATCGCCCCAGTCTATAAGAAAGAACCAAGGTCCTCCTGCGACAATCACAGTGCAATCAGTTTTACTAACAAAGTGTTAGAAATATTAAGTAGAGCTCGTGAAGAGCGAACCCGAGGAAATCAGACTGGTTTCATACCTGCACGTGAACGCATAGACCAAATATTCACCCTTCGACAGGTTCCAGAACATAAACATACTTTTCGAGGTCCGATTATAGTTTTATTCATTGACATTAAGGCAGAGTTCGGCCCTGTTGGTCGTAAGGTTCGACGGCAGTGTCTGTTATAGAAAGGCATACCAAAGGAGTACATTAACCCTGTACAGGCTCACCACTCGAACATTAATGGACAAATCAAAACTTATAGAGAACTTTCATCGGAATCGATTACTTCAAGTGGTGTTCTTCAGGGTTGTCCGATTTTCCCATTCTTATTTAACTTTGTCATAGACATGCTTTTAGAGATAGCACTTTCATCGTCTAGCTTTCCAGAGGTTGATTTTCTATCAGGAGATCCGCTTGTTGACTTGGAATACACAGATATACAGTTCTGTTTGGTGAAGACACTGGCCACTTTAAGCAACAATCCAAGCATGTTCGGGATGCGGTCCTCTCACCCCAAATGCAAAATGTTACTCTAGGACTGGTCTGTGTTGACGCCTGAACTGAGAATAGGAAGTGAAGTAGTTGAGCACATCGACCTCCGATTATTTTTACAGCCTAATCAATCCTGATAGATTGGTATCTGACAAAGTCTTGGCACGAATTCTAAAAGTTCGGTGGACTTCTAACTTATGACTGTGAAACCTGGCTATTAAGAGTAAAGAATATTTGTTACCAATGGTATTCAATCGTTAGTGTCTTTGAAGTATCGCTACTGTATGTTTGATTTGATAATTTATATTGATCGCAAAATTATGTCAATATTTGAATGAATAGTTTGATAGAAGTTGAGCGGCAAGTATAGAAGAGACATTATTTGTGGGAATTATGCTTGAAACTTAAATAATTCCAGTGTTTCGCTCAGCAAACTTATCTGGACTTCAGCATAATAATCAAACCGAAATTATCAAAGAATATATGATATTTAGCAATCAAATCAAATATACTGTGCTTATGCAATCATATTCAGATGTTGCCTTGAGCATGTAGGATAACATGAGTCAGTTATGTAGTACTCAATTTTCTTCGCGATCTAATAAAACCTGTTTTACACTAATTTGTTGAAATTGTTAGACCTTCCTGACAGCCCTTGTCAGCAGTTGTAATATATTACCAGATAACTAATTGTTTTATCTCCTTTGATGGTTGGTAAGTCAGTTGAGTTAACTGGCTTTTCCTGAATGCTATTCATCAACATTCCTAACTAAAAATGTATGGGATTATCTGTTTGATCTCGCCATTCTAATGGAGTATGGTAACTTAAGCCGTTGTAATCACGCACCATGTATTAAGTGACCTTTGATTGGCTGACTAATTGAAGTTAATGGAAAGACGTTTGGTAATGCGTAATAGACCTTAAGAATTCGTTAGTTTTCTAAAGGTTTTTTCGAGAAATATCAACAGGAAGTGTATATTGAAAAGGGAGAAAACTACATTTGTATTGAGTCTTTAAAAAAATTTCAAATCGAGAAGCAACAAATGAATTTTACTTTATTCAAATGTTTGAATTTATTGGCAGTTCGTGACTGACCGTTACTGCAACATTGACGTGGTGGATGGGTTTGCCCACCGTGATCCTAGTGTGGTCATTCACTTGACCTCACCTCGCCAAACGGAGAGTGGACGAGATACACCCTCCGTGTATCTGGCGACCTGATGGCTAGTCCTCGAGAACTGGCAGGTGAAGGCATAGCACTAAGTATGAGGGCGGAACAAGCGTTATTACAATGGATCCCCATTAACAGTCGTCTATGCGCTATCCGGCTTCACGATTCTGTAAGAACTCGAATGGATAAGGTCACACGGCGTTGCCTTTTCGTCTTTTCTGCATACGCACTCACTGACTGCAGCTCGGATGAAGTGAAAGATGAATTTTACAGAAAGCTTTCTGAAGAAGTTCAGAAAGCTAAACGTTCAGACATAGTACTCGTAGCAGGTGACTTTAATCCCCAATTAGGTAGCTTAAAACAAGAAGAAAGACATTTAGGTGGATAATTTAGTATTCCGGAACAGAGAACAGATAATGGTGACCGTCTGTTGCAACTGTGCTCAGACAATCGTTTATCTTTAGCAAACACTAATTTTAAGCATAAGGAGAGACATCGTCTAACATGGCGACCCCCTGCACCAAACCAACGATGGACTCAAATAGACCACATTGCCATCAGTCATCGTTGGAGAGGGTCGATAGAAGATTGTCGCTCATTCCGGAGTACCTGTTTGGACTCCGACCATGCCCTAATACGGGCACGCATCTGCTTGCGCCTCACTGGACGCAAAAAAGCCACGTTAAAAAGACCCATTAGAACTGAACTGAGTAACGAGAAAACCAAAAGTAGGTTCCAAGAACAACTGGGGTCACACTTAGGTAGTTTTGAAAACGAGGCTGACCCAGATGTTGCTTGGAAAGATATACAATCAGCTGTGGAAACAGCGGTGACATTTGTTAGTGATTGAAACCAGAGTTACAAAGAACCAATGAAAATCTTCCAAGTCTATTGCACTGATGGATTCGCGTAAACTCATCCCATCAGGCTCTGAACACGATGAAGAGCGAAAGCACATCAGATCTAGGTTAACCAAAAGTCCAACGAACGACCGTGAGCAGTGGTGGGCATCGAAAGCAAAAGAGATAGAAAAGGAGGCGGCGGATGTAGGTAACACAAGTCAGCTCTTCAGATTCATAAAATAAACTGGAACTAAAAGGTCAAGTGTAAGTGAGACTCTTATCTGCTCCCAGCCCATACGTTTAGAACGATCGGCAGAACACTTTCAGGAGCCGTTCAGCTGGCCTTCAGCTACTCTACAACTACCCACCTTTCCCAGACAGAGTGAATGGAACATTGAAGCAGGTCCCCCATGTCTAGCTGAAGTTCAAAAGGCTATAGATCATCTGAAACGAGAAAGAGTAGCTTGTTTTGATGGATTGGCTTCAGAGGTCATTAAGTATGGGGGTCCGATTCTAGCGACTAGGTTGACTAATATTTTAGCTAAAATCTGGGAGTTGGACGTAATCTCCTTTGACTGGTCACAATCACTTTTCGTCTCAATATATAAGAAAGGGTCGAAATCATCCTGTGACAACCACAGAGGGATTAGTTTAACTAATATGGCATCTAAAGTACTAGGCTCGATAATTATCAGACGCCGAAGTAAGACTCGTGAACTGCAAACACGAGAGAATCAAGCTGGCTTCAGACCTGGTCGTGGATGCATAGACCACATACTCACCATTCGTCAGGTTCTAGAACACAGGCGTCCGACAATGGTGGTCTACCTTGACTTAAAAGCAGCGTTTGACTCTGTTGACCGAGAGGTTCTGTGGCAGTGTTTGTCATTGAAGGCTCTTTACTCGAACACTACTAGTCGAGTCAGAGCTTATGGTGAACTGTCATCCGCTTTTGCAACCTCAAGTGGTGTCCGTCAAGACTGTCCACTATCTCCATTTTTGTTTAACTTCATCATATATCTACTGATGGAAATAACGCTCTCATCGACTGAATTCTCAGGTATTGATCTCCTACCACGAGCTCCACTTATTGACTTAGAATATGCAGATGACATAGTCCTTTTTGGTGAAGACGCTGATGAAATGCAGAGTCTTTTGGTAGCACTGAGCAACAATGCTAGGATGTTTGGGATGTGCTTCTCTCCCTCTAAATGCAAGTTTTTGCTTCAGGACTGGTCTTCGTCAACACCTGAACTAAGGATAGGGAGTGAAGTAGTCGAACACGTTGACAACATCACTTATCGTTGTCTATGGTGACAGTTGAGGAGGAAACCAAAAGAGGAAGTTTAGATTTGAAGGTCAATGTAGGAGGAATAATAGAAATTGAAGAGGGTGGTTGATTATGAATGCAGTGGTCTTGAGTGCTGTTAGAGGTATGAGGACGGTTATCATTTCCCGGTTGCCCACACAGTGGAGGGGTTGTTCTGGAGGTACCTGAAAAGGAAATCGGATTAGAGGTGATCATAGTGACCTGAGAGCGTGACAGCAGTGCCCAAGTGTCAGCCGCTGTCACACGTCTGTACAGTCAGCAGTACAACTTCGCCTTCGGACTTGTTGCTTTTAGACTTAACGCTCTTCAACCGACCTGTCTGGCATGGTAGGACCTTAAGGAACGGTGTAGCTCAGTTGCTTCATCACTATAGGCAAGCCGGACCACTACGTCAAGGTAGCAACAACGGTCGGGGTTGCGTATGCCTGATTATGACGACGCACAATGATGACTAGTGTTGGAGACAATTGGAATAAAGTTAGGGGTGGCCAAACCAAAACGTGGCATCAGTACCTGAAGTCACTAACTTCTAGTCTAAGCCATGTTGGTAGATGCAGACTACTTGGTTGGGGTCCGCTTGACTATCGTAGCCGATGGTTGGCGACTTTTGGTGACATGGCTCAGAATCGATCACAATTGCGTAGGTGCATACACTATTTGGCCTCCCTTAAACCGTGAGATTAAAATTATATTGTACCTTACTATCCACCAAGTAGTTCTTTCTTCCTGTACTATATCCTTATATGCAATCTTTCTTCTACATATTACCACCACTGAATTGACTACTTCTATGAATCCGGTGTTCATCTTGTTGTGCTAATGCGGCATGGCAACTTGTACCGATGCATATATGCGCTTGGTCCAACGTTGTAGCTGACTACCGACTGACAACAGCGAGTTGCAGATACCTATTTAGAAGTGATTACGACAAGTTGGATGAAGGAGAGACAAGTGTGTGACAAATAAGTAAATAACTAATTGAATGATAAATTATTGTATGCATCACAACAAAAACAAGAACGTACAGTTACCTAATTTGTACATACTTCGTAACATTTTATAATTCATTAAGTATTAATTGTAGCAGCAATTGTCGGGAATGTTAATTGTGAATATTTTTTCATCAATCTGCATACTTACTTTAACTAATTTTCAATGAATTATTAAATCTCCTAGTTAAATGTTCATTTATAATTAGTTGATAAGTGTAAGTTATCTACTGGAAAGAAATTTTAAAATTCAGTATGATTTCTTACTAACTTTATCATGATCTAAGTATTTTGCACAAAGCGATTGTTGTCTTCGGATTTTCAATCGTTTGAAAGTTATAAATTCTTTAATTATTTCGCATGAGTTGTTTTTTTTAACCTCAATAACATAATAAACGTCTACGCAATAACAAATAATGTGATGAAGATTTACGATTAATAATAATAATAATAATAATAATCACTATTAAAGGAAAATAAACAATAAACATACATGGTATAAGCAATAGGAATGTTGATCCTCTACCGGTATACTGAATTCCTCCATGCATAAACGTGTCGCTTCGTATGCATTAGTCTGTCTACTTGGTAATATAATCAGCTTACTAGAGTGGTCTTTTCCATTATCACTTGATCGCCATACACGTATCACTGACAAATGGTCCGTGTGACTGATATTATTACTACCAGAATTTAAGCCTGAATATTTGACACTATTAGTTGAATCATGTGGACGTTGGTGAAGAACGGCAATATAGTCACTGACTGTAGCAGCAACATTACTACCAGATATTAATGATTTGTCCAGCATTATTAAATCAGGCTGTGATGACGATCTTTGCAGTGGTGGTGTTGGTGGGAAGCAATTATGGTTGGCAGTTTTTGAACTACTGCTGAATATGTTATTGGATGGATGGTGTTCATACGGTCGACATAAATCATTGCTATTATTACTTTGATTATCGGTGGTGGTAGGATCTTTAAGTGAATGTGACCAACGTGACTGGGAAATGGATGACTAGATAGTTGTAACATATTAAAAAATAAGACAACAACAACAACTAAGAACAAACCATTTATCACGGTATCGCTAAACTACGATAATGTAATACAATGTAAAGTTATCCATATGAAGTGAATTAAAATAATATACATTCACAAATTAAAAACATACATCAGGTGTTTGGAATAAAAAAATGTCACTCAAACATATGTTCATACTTTCAACTTAAAGCCATATTTCATCCTCATCAAGCCTAATACATGGTATTGAACTTCTGTTTAAGTCAAAATAACTAGAGTACGGTTTAAACCTGTGACCTAATGGTTAAGGGTTGAGTTCTCTGAGCATTTCACCACTGTGGATAAAGTGCAGACAAACATGCTGATTATGTAAATAATATTCACTTACAAAAACACATTATGAACCAATATTATTTTCAACCTTGACATTCGCAACTAACTAACATCTCTATATGAATCATTCATGTTCTGTTCAAACCTCTTCTAGCCCTTTTTAGCATGTGTAAACTCCATCATCGGCACTAAGGAGTTCCTGAGAAGATTGTCAATATTATCCGGAACTCATTCGACGGACTACAGTGCAAAGTAGTGCATGGAGGACAGAGAGACAGACGCATTCCAAGTAAGGACCGGAGTAAGACAAGGCTGTCTACTCTTTCCCATTCTATTTCTTCTGGTGGTCGACTGGATTATGAAGACCTCGACATCTGAGGGAAAACACGGCATACAATGGACAGCTCAGAACCAATTAGACGACTTGGACTTCGCAGATGACCTAGCCCTCCTATCGCATACACACGAACAAATGCAGACAAAGACAGTCAGCATAGCAGCAGTCTCTGCATCAGTAGGCCTCAACATACACAAAGGGAAAACCAAGGTCCTCAAACACAACACGGAGAACAGCAATCCAATAACTCTTGATGTCGAAACTCTGGAAGATGTGGAATCTTTCACATACCTGGGAAGAATCGTCGACAAACAAGGAGGTTCAGATGCTGACGTAAAGGCGAGGATTGGCAAAGCAACGGCCGCATTCCTTCAATTGAGGAACATATGGAACTCAAAACAACTTTCAACCAACATCAAAGTCAGAATCTTCAATACGAACGTCAAGGCAGTTCCACTGTACGGAGCTCAAACTTGGAGAACTACAACAACCACCATCAAGAAGGTACAAGTATTTATCAATAGCCGTCTACGCAAGATACTCAACATCCATTGGCCGGATACCATCAACAACAGCCTTTTGTGGGAGAGAAACAACCAGCTTCCAGCAGATGAAATTAGGAAAAGACGATGGAAATGGATAGGACATACATTGGGGAAATCATCAAACTGCATTAAGAGACAAGCGCTAATTTGGAATCCTGAAGGGATGAGGAAAAGAGGAAGGCCAAAAAAACACATTACGTCGGGAAATAAAAGCGGATATGAAAAGGATGAATAACAAGTGGGAAGAGCTGGAAAGAATTGCCCAGGACAGGGTTGGATGGAGAACGCTGGTGAGCGGCCTATGCTCCTTCACGAGGAATAACAGGCGAAAGGAAGTAAACTCCATCATGTTTTGATGTTTCAAAACATTCAATGAATAACTAGATTTATGAGGAAAATTTAATTATCTTTAAAAAATGTGTGTTCACTGAGACTAATGATTTAGCTATAAAAGTTTTACATAGGGATCGCTCTATTTGCTACTTGGTCATTAGTACAGAAAAATCTCAAACGTTAAGAAAAGTAGTTATAAATTCAATACACAGTGAGTAATAAATTTTCAAAAATGAAGATTATTTACAACAATAATTTACCTGTTTACTACTGTCAGTTATTGATGTTTTAGAAAGCACTTGACTATCTTCATGAGAATGTGATAATCGAGTCGGTGATGTATTTGCACTGTGAGAAGAACGACCCGACGTAACATGTGAAGGTTGAAAGTCTCGACCATGTCTTCCAACTGAATTGTTACCTGGAGAAGTAGAGAGAGTACTGACCGTAGAAAAGGAGCATAGTGTTGGCATTTTCGGTAGTAGTACAGTTGAAGAAGACTGTTGTTGTTGGGGGTCATTTGATTTCTTAACAAGATCATCAGGTATGCTTATACTGGTTGGTCTACACATGAATACAAAAAATATCTTGGTTGTCATCGTTATGGTGTAAAAATGTACGACAAATCATTAAGCTACACAATCTTAAAGAATGACATTTTATAATTCAGAAATAATCGTTTATAACGTATATATATATATATATATATATATATATATATATATATATATATATATATATATATATATATATATATATATATAAGCGGTTAGCAAAACAGAGAAACCAATGGTGAAAGTTAACTGTGAAGAGCATCCCACTACTACTGTTACTTCTAATACTGATACTTATCACATCATTCAAATTAGTCGGTGTTTTTGGAACTTTAACTCATCTCACTATTACTCAAACTTCAAATTGCTGAACACCACCACTTGTTTCTTACATACAAAACAATGGTCTTTGATAATTAAAACCAATCAACTTAAACAATCAGATCTTACTCTACTTATTTCGGGTTTTGCAATTAAATAGTATCATGCACACGAATAAGCACGTAGTGTATGACTTGAAGCTGGATTTACAAGATTGTAAATCGTAGGGGTTTAGTGATTAAAGTACTCAGGCTTCAACTAAAAGTATGTAGGTTCGTAACCCAACCTCGATTATTATAATTGAAAGGTTGAGTAGTAAGTATCACTAGCTCTGACATAAATAATGTGTCTGAAATTCAAATAAATAAATTGGTATTTAATGGACAAGTAACACGTTGATTGTTATTCATTCATTCTTAATAGTTTTATAATGACATTACCAAAAACAAATGTACTAATTGCTTTTTTTAAAGTATATACATATTACAGTTAATATACAGTGAAAGAAAGATTAAATGCTGTTGGAATATCCTCGGTTAACTAATTCACTGGACTACATTTTTATTATGTGTATAAACATTATTGCTAGCTAATAACTTTTGTTGACATTATTGTTTTATTGTTATTTTCTTCTTCAAACTCGTACATCCTATTGTTGACATGAAATTCAGTAAGCTTTGTGTTTCTTGGTTTTCCATCAGGTTAGTTCGATTACTTGGTAGGTTTACTACGTATAAGTTCCTGAAGACTAACACATACCAAGCTTTTAGGCTAAAAACGTTGACCATCCACAAATTATCAAACATAATCAACGCAATCCAGTATTTGATAAGTTCGTCTGGGAAAGTAGAATGAATGCACATAAGTCAATAAATATTTTCTGTGAACATCGAACTACTTTGTTTGAATAGATAATTGGAATATAGTAAGCATGTAGTGTAAATGAATGTATATGAGTGATCATATCAAACTTCATTTAAAGAGGTCATTGTAATGATAGACAATATTGGCATAACGCAGGTTAATAATTCCATAGTATGTCGGATATGGCTGATGGTTTTAACTCGTTACCGTGTGTAGAGTTTTGTTGACTACGGAAGTAGATGAAAAAAGGGTAAAAGTGATCGGTTTAGGATATGAAGAGTTATGTGATGAAAGATAAGACTAGTATATCTTTCGATTCATCACGCCTAAGTAGTTAGTGATAGAGAGACTATGCAATTTAATAACTGGAAATGTTATCGAATATGCACCCAAACAGTAACTGTTATCAATCTTGTACTAGCTTTCTAAGATGTTTATTTACAAAAGCTATCGGTTTCCTTTCCTAACTGAATTATATCTTACAACAAATATTATATTGGTTCACTTATTAATCCATTATATGACAATATTCTTGTTTTTTTTTTTCCTTCATATTATTATTTTATGTTTTAACGGCCTACTGTAACAAAATATCTAGGCGTTATAGATAAAAGTTATATACATTGATTTCGCCTTCACTAGTACAAGCGTTAGTCTAGTAGTTTCATTATTTTAAATTATCCGGTTGTTTTAATTCGGAAACCAGCTTCATTACACAAAATGAGGCTTGGGGTTTGGTACGATGAATTTTATTCGCATGACAGGAATTCCGGGCAATTTTACTTGATTACTGAGGGTTCAAATAATCACTTAAGCGCTGATACATAACAATGAATGAATCAAGACTTCAAAAATGTAACAACATACATACATACATATGTCCCATAATATTAACTACTGTGTATTTAGCAGTGATTTGACTTAATACAGATGCATATAGTTATTTTTGGAAGGAAGCCTATAAATGTGAATTCAAAAAAGTAGGGAATGAGACGGATTTTGGTGAAGGTATACAGTATAGTAGTTGTGATTATATCACAAATTAGTTTTAGTTGAATATTGAAGATAATTGAATTTGATTTAAATGTCTTGACTGTCCATTGACGGTGATCGATATCAAAGAAAGAACAACTGTTCAGTGTTTTTTTGTAGCTTTCAATTTATCTCTTACAGAAATTGACCCCAGTCTGTAGTGAAAAATATTCTCGATGATAAAAATAAATAAATAAAAGCTTGAGTTAGAATTAAACTGATCAGAAGTTAAATATGAAACAGCATTGTGTTAATCATAAAACTAATCGAGTCATTTGCTCAAAACAATCGCCAATCAATTTGTGTTTTACTAACATTATTCTGACATGAAGTTAGGGATGAAACGAAAGTCGATATATTCCGGGTTTTTCAAATTTCAAATTTGAGTTTAAGCAACAAAATGTCACCAGCGATAACTAGTGTTCATTCGAATGGAGCAACTATGTCGACAAAACGTACAATAAAATCAAGTATATACTTGCATATATGTACACATGTAGGTATGTCCGCTCAAGCAATATATCGAAACAAATATTAAAGTGAATCAATTAGTTAGTCAGTCAATCAGTCACCTTGTAAGGTGTTTTAACTTTGATCTATCCACGGAAAAACACAGAAAACAAGTAATAATGATGAACCAATCATTTTTTCCTTAAAAATAAATTAATTGGAAAGCAAACAAAAGCGAGATGCTAACGAAACAAATCATTTTTATTATAATTGTAGTAGAAGAGGGAAACAATCAAGCAAATATTTGGAGCACACATTCAAGGTTATATATATAATTTAGATACAAAAAACTGTTGCATAATTATATTTGGATATTAAAAGTGAAATATTATGGAATCTACATCTCAGCTGGATATTTTTAATGATGTCGCTGTACATTTTTATATTGTTGTTCTCCACGCTGTTACCAGTGCTTATTTAAAAAAGAAACGTACAAGTTCTCAAAAAAATATACCATAAGTATAAAGTTGTTTATTTCTTATAAAATTGTTTTTGTACTATTGATAAACGAAGCTGATTTTAACAAAGACGAAATCTATTGTTTATGTTAATCAGCCAACTGGTGGTTGGTTGGTTAGTCATTACTTTTTAGACCAGATATTTACGAATGATGAAAAATCAAACATATGATTAATCAATTTAAATGTAGATGTCTGACCACAGTACATAAAACTTAATATGTTACAAACTTTCAATCAAGTATTGATTTGTTTACTCAACTTTGAGTAACACCTTCTATGAAAGATCATCCGCCAACTAACTTTTCAAAGTTGAAAAATAGAGCAGGAACACAATTTGAAAATTGCTTATTAGAAGTCAACTGTGGTTCACCACTCAACCATCAGTATCGACTTAATGGCGATAATTAATTAATTATCTAATTTTGGGTTCAAGTGAGATTAGTTGCATTTTCTCTGATTAAAAGTATGAAAAATAAACTGAGGAAATTCTAACTACACACATATATAATATAAGAACTGAACATCTCTTAAAATATTTTTGTATTTACGTAATAAAAAGTTCATCCGCAAAGATTTAAACTAAACAGCCCAATTCTAACCAGAAGTACTGTTATAACAGGACGAGTGTTGGAAAAGTTACAACTTTTTGAAAAAATAATAGCCTTAAATATACTACACCTCACCTTCACACGAGAATTCTCATATCCAGTATTAAAGGCTTAAAAGTACGCAGATAACACACCATAAGCCACTTACAAATAAAAAGGTCGCAAGTAGTATTCACTTTGGAGCTGTTGTCAGATGGCCAGGTCGTCAAAACGACCTCTGCCTAAGTTTTCTTTTTAATTTCCTGGAGTACTTTTGTTTTAGAGTTTGGGCAACTGCGAAAAGACAACTGTCAATAAACCTCTAGCAGCACTCGAGATTACACTCACCAATAATTTACCAGGCTCCACAACTGTTGAGATGTTGAAATAATAAACAGCCACACACAACTACAGAAGAATCTCAAAAGAGATAAATCTCATTCTTTAATTTCAAACTTAGCCTTCATAATTAACAGAAATAATGTAACCACGTGACACGCAAATAACAAGCAAAGTGAAAGAAAGATTTCCATGAAATTAATTTTTACTGTTTAGTTGTTGTTTGTTACAAAAATTATCCCATAAAAAACCAACTCGCTAAACAAACGCTAACCAGAAAAAATTATACAAACCATTTAATCTCTGTTTTGGGAGTCAGGTCTTTATTTAGAACAGTTGTGAGGCCTCATGGTGAAAGCCAAGTTCCTTCGGAAGTCGCGGGGCTGATGCTCCTTCTGACAACCAGAGCAACCATTTATTTAGGTACATGGAATGCTCGCACAATGTGGGAGACTGGGAGAGTTTTCCAAATTACTGCGGAAATGAGGAGATACAACCTGGAGGTATTTGAGATCAATGAACTTATTGGACGCAAGTTGGACAAGAATGACTAGCTTCCGTGGAGCTTCTGTTATACTCTGGCTATGAAGAAAAAAATGGCCCACATATACAAGGAGTTGCATTGATGGGAATCTCACGAACCAAGGATCATCAAAGCCTCCTTCAAAACAAAGAAAGAGGGCATTTTAATGGACGTTGTCCAAACATATGCGCCTACCAACGACGATAGGCTACAGTCAATCGTCGAGAAGTGCCCAACAAAAGACCTGACCATTCTGATGGGAGACCTAAATGCCAAGGTTGGAATGGACAACACCCGATATGAAGAGATCATGGGACGACACGGACTGGGAGAAATGAACGAAAATGGTGAGAGATTTGCAAATCTATGTGCC